GCTTGCTGCGTCTGCTAGCGTGTGCTTCTCATGGTTGCCTGGCGAGGCCAGGCATGCTTTTAGGAGTTTTACGCGGAATGAATTGAGGAAAGCTTGATTGGTACGTGAGGTTCAATGTCCCAAAATCTCCGTATGAATGTGAGACGCCATAGTGGAGGGCTCCGGAACTCTTGACCCCCTGGGGTTTTAATGTGCATCTAAATCTGAGCTCTCGGGTCTACAGCATTTTTGCCTATATCAAATGTGCAGCCGCTGCAGCAGCCGGGTTTCGATCCCGTGACTTGTGGTGTGCCACCGGGAAGCGATGCGCGTACGCCGGGATTTCGGATGATCCCGTCACTTGAGTGTGCTCGCATCTTCATCCTTATCCTCTAGAGAGCCCGGAAGCATTGTGCGTTCTATGCGTCCCTAATTCCTTCGCGTTTGGGTTCCTTGATTTTAAGGGGGAAAGGGGGAAGCACAAGTCTGCTGTGAACCTTGCGTGGGCATGCTTTGGCGCTCTTGAGTCGCCCGCTTCAAAAGGCGTCACTCGCAGGCAGTGTTACCAGATTTTGATACTTTACGCCAGATTGGCTACTTTTAAAAGGCCACGGTGACTAAAAAGTTACGTTGGCTACTTGACTAACTTTTGACCATTTTTCTGGTGCTGTCGTCAGCCTTTAGTATACACTAAAACCGAGCGCAACTATACAAAAGTATTAGGTGTTCAATCACATTGCCGGCCGCAGCTCCCTCGGTGTATTCGCATTCTTTACTCAGTATACCGGGAGCAATTGCATGCACCCAGAGCGCGTCCCGGCTGCCATGGTTTTCACAATAATATTTGAACTCATATAGGTTAGGCAGCACAGTAACGTAGCTGCCGAAGAACTCGTTCAGGCTTTCTAGTCAATTTGCATACACTGTGAGCTGTGTAGGTGTAACTTAATAAACAATTATATCAGGTCACTTGGTTAGAAGTTGTTAGAAACTAAGGTTTGAAAAATCGTCAGGTTTATGGATGAGTATTTGTAATTTTGAAATGGAATGCTAAAGAGTATAAAAGTGTTGATTTAACCTTTGAAGTATTTGAGACAGTTTGCCAGCCTCTAAAACTTACACATGAAATGCCATGTGGTAATACGCTCAGGTTCCTTGATATTTCGTTAAAATTTCATGCTGACCAGGTTTGTTGGCTTTTTTAGCCCAGGAGCAAAAAGCCATTGTTGCTTTTCTCTTCTGCACATACTAAAATAGTCAAAAGGTCTGTCCCACGTGTGGTCCTTTAAAATTTGATGAAAAAATCGTGTTTTGATCTCATGCAAAACAGTTTTGAGCAACAGGTTTTACGACTGCCAGCCGGTTACCCGCAACAGCGTTATGGTCGTCGCCGAATCACTCTATAGGGACCTAAAGAAACGAAAGAAGCAACTTAATTACACTTTGACGCTTTTAACACCCTGCCAAAAATGTATTTGGTTATCCCGAGCCCGTATAAAAGAGCGAGTATGGTACCTTCGTCAAGTTGAGGATGTGAGAGTCAGCATGTCAGCAGTGGGATTGTGAACCAAAATATAAACCTGCTGGGATGCATGAGATGCTAGTCGTACTCAATGCATTGAATACAGGGCAATGAAGCTCTGTGTTTCCTTCAAACATAACTCGGAAGGGGAGCGAGTGTTTTCTGTTATGCATGTTATAAAAATCGACGCAAGGAATCTAATGTAACACGTACTTCTCGCTGTCAACAGGATCAAATTTGGACTACATGTGAAAGTTCTTACAACCTCCATAGTAATGTGTGTAAAAAGCTACAGTACATATCTGCAAATTATGAAGTACTTTGCTCACTCTATATTAGGAGTGCCACAGGGCATGCTGTCAAAAGTTAACTTTATTATGTACTGTTGCCAATTTTTCAGTCTTAAGGTCGCATCCAGGAAGTTCGGCGATCTTTTTTACTCTATTTTAATGCGAGAAACATGGCTGAGGTGTACATCTTAAGGGCAAAGCTCCTAAAGCTGTGGGTCTGTTCATGCATGCCTTTTGTGATAGGTTCGTAACCATCTAGTTGTATGATTCGCTCACAGGTGGCGCTGGTGTGAGTGACAAACAGATGGACAGGCAGACAGACAGGTGCACAGACACACATACATATCGACAGAGGGACGAACGCATGAGCGAAAGCATGGACGGACCGACAGTAGCATGGACGGACGCACGGATGGACTGAAGCACGGACGAACAGACAGAGGAATTGATGCACTGATTTACGGGTAGAAGCAACGTTCCATAAACGTTGGACAGAAGTACGGACGCATGAATGGATGGAAGCATGGACGGATTGACAGGCGGACGCACGGATGGACAAACGGACAGAGGCAGGACGGATGGAAGCAGGTACTGATGGCAGCAAGGATAGATGGATGGACAGAAGCAAGAATGAACGAACGGACAGATGTGTGGACGGACAGAAGCACAGACAAACGCTTCACTCCACTAATCATCATTCACTCGTGGATATGCTGTCATCTTTTTTGTTTTTTAAGCATCAGGCTGTGGTAAAAATACAACTGAACTGAAACCATATTTCGGTAAATATCTGGCTTCAAAATAAAATAAGGACTGCTGGTTAGCTTCTACTCTAGCTACATAGCCTAATTTTGTCACCTTTTTTTTTTGAATACCTGGCAACCCTGCTTGCCGGGGCGAAGTGTACAACGTATATGACGTTTCTGCTCTCCCTCACTCCTCTCATCACACCTTTCACGCCCTTCTCTGCTACCCAAAGGCGCTGGTGTGCTCACGGTGCCATTCGCAAACCTTCTTTTCTTTCCATAAATAATCACTTCCCTGCCTCCCGCAAGGGCTGCATAAAGTAGTGCAGTTTTCTCATGTTCGGTTAAGCACGTCTCATATTCGAGAAGCTTGTGAGACCGACGCGCACTCAGACAGCTTTAGACCGAGGAAGGGTTTTGTAATGAATTCAAATTTTGTTCCCAGTTGTTTTACCATTTGGGTTTGTGCTGTCAGTAGCCCGTCCATGCGTTGACATTTATTGTTAAAAATATAGAACGGTAGGGCGATTCGAACCACGCAGTGCGAAAAAAATGCTTGTTCATCTTCTTGCACCTTTTCTTAATTGTTGTGAGGGTGTCCTCTGAAGCACTAATACTTGACGAGTTTCCTGTGTGAAAGTAAGGTACCAGGGGAAATATCGATATGCCAATGGCTGTATCATTTCTTTTGTTCTCGGGATCTCACCAATAATGTAACCTGAAAAAGGCAGTGCCAGAGACTCTGTACCACTATGCGCACCATTTTTATATGCAAGCATCCTAATGGTTACATCTGCACCAGCCGCTCCGTTTGTCTAGTAGTTATGGTGCTTGACAGGCACAGGCCTGCAGATCTCTGGATGGAATCCCTGCCGTTGGGGCAGCTTTTTTGATGGAGGCGAATATGTTTGTTACCCGCGTGTGTGTGTGTGTGCGTGTGTGTGTGCGTGCATGTGTGTGTATGCGTGTGCGCGCGTGTGTGTGTGCGCGCACGTTAAAAACCCAGGTGAAATAAAATTTCTGAACTTATCACTTTGGTGTTTCTCATAGTGTAGTTTCGTGACGTTAAACCCCAGATAATATTGTAATTATATACACGCGCACCCTCTAGGTTTTTCATTGACACTCTTATGAAAGGCATTAACACTCTTTTAACGTACACACAGTTGACTTAGCTTGTATTAGCAGCAAAAAAATGACGGGTAATTTGTGAAGAAAGGGTGTGAATACCAGGACATTTTTTACACCCGCAAGGGTGCAATTGTTTTACTGTTATCTGCCCCAACACCAGTGTGCTCGGTGCCGCTGTAAGTTCACGATATGAGTACAACCACCCTGTTTACGCGAAGAGCCGCCTCGTGACACTTGCCGTCTCAAAGTGAAAATAGGCTGGTACTACCTGCTGAGTGCTCTGCATAAAATTAATTATCACAATGCATGGTTGGGTGTGCCGTTTTTCGGAGAAAGCTGTATATATGGCTATAGGAGAAACGAAAAGCCGTTAGGCAGAGGGGTCACAAGCAGTAGTGATTGGCTGTGTTATCAGCTACGTCGTTCACAGCATCGTATTAAAGCACGCGTGCCATTGGCTGCATTGTGAATGGCGTAAGTTGCTCATCTCGTTGCGCCGAGCACGCACGAGTTTCTCCTGAAACCTCTCACCTGGGTACACCAGGGACAACTCTAGAAGAGCGCCGGCAGTGGAAACATAAAAAAAGCTTGCATTTGTGTGGCCGACGGTGCAGTCCGGGCTCGAAAATAGGCTCGGCAGGCCGATTGATGGCAGCAACTACGTACCGATGATTGGGCAGCCTTTCAAACCGTGCCAAATCGCGAACGGGAATGCAAGCGCTGGTGACGGACGGATGTTGGAAAGCACGCCGCTGAGTTAGCTCGTGATGTCAAATGTTTGCAACAACGCTGCGTCTTTGCGGGAGCGCGTTGTGACCGCCAGTGGTTCGAGAACAACCGCTATGATTGACGCATCGTGAAAAACATTTAACCGCTCACTACACTGCGAGGCACAATGTGTGGCATGTGAAATAAACACTGTGGAAAACCCAAGTCAAATGTGTGTCTAACCTCATTAAGAAGCACTAACACGTAACCAATAAGTGTAAAAGGCTTCAGTGCCACGTCGCGTCAAACCACTGCGAAACACCGGCGCCATACGTTACAGATTTCGCTGGTTAACGATTTGTATGAAGGGCTCGGGCAATAATGTTTGTATCAATATATTTTTTAAATTTTACGAAGCCTGGTTAACTGACATTTCTTGCACCTCCACTATCTTGCAGAATCCAAGTACTTCTGAAACTTTTCAAATCTACGTGCAGGATAAATTATATAAACAATTGTGGCGTTTAAGTGCATACGTTGGAATATGGCAGCTGTATCACACTGTGTTCCACTGTGATCATAATATCATGCAGTGATTTTGTTCCGTGATTGCTTTCTTTGCAGGTTCCGCTGGTGTGTTCTTCATTCCTGCATTCAGTGGGCTTCAAGTAAGCGCTGTTCAAATACTGATACACACACACACACACACACACGCACACACACACGCACACACACACACACACACACACACACATATATATATATTGCCACGAGGAATTGCTAAGGCGCAGTACAACGCAGACGTTGTTAAAAGAGGAACGCTGACGGCATCGCTACGACTCATGAAGCCCGCCGGAAGGCACGAGCCGGCCCAGCCTGTGCACGAGCTGCTACCGAGCAGCGGCAAAGAAAAGAGGAGAAGAAGAGGACGACGAGCGTTCGCTGCTTTCCCCCAGCTACTGTGTAGTTCTTTTGGCTTTGGGCACAAGTTCGCCCTTATTAAACCTTGTAAATAGGACGTCCCGGTTGTGAGGTTGTTATATCCGTTACATTTTCTGGTGGAGGAGCCTGGGTACATGATTCCGAGCCCCACGCAAGAGCGAAGTCCAAGCACTGACCAGCCGCAACCAGTGGAGCTTACACCGGTGCACCAACGAGTCAGCCGCCGTATCCGAGGAGAGTTGCCAGAATTTGGGCCACTCCCTTCTGTATCAAGGGCATCGGTGACGGAGACAAGCGCCGCCACCACCATGACGAGCCAAGTTACGCCGGCACAACTCATCGTAAGCCAACCGGTCATTCCAAAGGTGTTTCATGGTGACCCATACGAGGACGCCGAAGACTGGTTAGAGCATTTCGAGAGAGTGGGAAATCTAAATCAGTGGAACGAGGAAGGCAAGCTGCGTAACGTCTACATTGCGTTGGAAGACTCTGCACGAGTGTGGTACGAAAACCACGAGGCATCTCTGACGTCGTGGCAAGAGTTTCGGCGGCAGCTACTGAGTACGTTCGCCAACAGTGATCGCCGGGAAAGGGCGGAAGCAGCTCTCCGCACACGGATTCAACGAACGAACGAAACTGTCGCGATGTACATCGAAGACATGTCCCGCCTTTTCAAGCGAGCTGATCCTGGCATGACGGAAGACAAGAAGGTGCGCCACCTCATGCACGGGGTAAAGCAAGAATTGTTCGCGGGACTCATCCGCAATCCGCCCCGTACTGTTGCTGAGTTTCGGTCGGAAGCAACAACCATCGAAACGACGCTTCAGCAGAGAGCCCGACAGTACAACCGCGACGTAGCCGGTGCATCCGCAGGAGTCTACTCAGCAGGCGTCGTGGATAATCTTGACACATTGCGCGAGCTCGTCCGGTCTGTTGTCAGGGAAGAATTAAGGAAACTGCAGTCACCTGATGTCACCCCCGAGCTGTCTCTTGCTGAAGTTGTCCGAGATGAAATTCGACAGGCCATGCGGGAGCCGCGGAGTGATGTGCCAGCGACACGACGGGCGGTAACGTACTCCGAGGTGCTCAGGCGACCTACTCCGCACTGTTCGCCGATCGAGACACCAAGTACTTATGTGCAGACAATGCGCAGCCCGCCTGAAATCGTAGAGGCAACACGCACTCCACCTCGTGCGAGAGAGATGATGCCACGGAAGAGCGATGTGTGGCGAGATGCCACACGTAGGCCCTTGTGTTTCCACTGTGGAGAGGCTGGCCACCTGTACCGATTCTGCCGATATCGTCAAGCTGGTCTTAGGGGATTCGCCATCAATGCACCGTGTCCGCGAAACGGCGAAAGACCTTCCGAGATTGAAGAATACCTATGCTCACGTCGGGAATTTGACCCGCCTCGTCGTCATCAACCACGCTCACCATCCCCTATGCGCTACCGCTCGTCTAGCCCACGTCCCTTCCCAAGCACGTCTAGGCAGCGTTCGCCTAGCCCAAATCCGGGAAACTGAAGAGGGCGACCTGTGGAGGCGAGGCCGCTGGCGACTTGGGATATGAAGATCCTCCACTGCGGTACGAGCCTGATAACGACGACTGTTTCCAGGTAAAGGAGTGCAGTACAGAGAAAATTACTTCAGACTTGCCGTTGGTGATTGACGGACTAGAGCTCAATGCTTTGATCGATACTGGTGCGGATTATTCTGTGATAAGTTACGAATTAGCGAAGCGACTCAAGAAAGTTCTGACCGAATGGGGTGGACCTCAAGTACGTACTGCAGGTGGTCACCTCATAACCCCTTCCGGCCGATGTACCGCAAGGGTCATGATACGGGGCTTCACTTACGTCGGTGACTTTGTCGTCCTACCTGTGTGCTCGAGGGAAGTGATACTGGGAATGGATTTCCTACAAGCTAATGGTGCGATTATCAATTTACAGAGGTCGAGCGTGTCCTTTTCGACGGAGCAAGCTTTAAAGGTAGCACGATCAGATGAACGATGTACCACTCCACTGCGCGTCGTCGACGATGATGTGACTGTACCGCCACGGAGCAGTATAATGGTTCTCGTGCATAATGATGCATTCAGCGACTACGAGGGTGTGGCGGAGAGCAACGTGGATGTTTTCTTGAAAAGAGGCGTTTGTGTGGCACGAGGGATTATCCAGCTGCGAAACGGGTGCACAGACATCCTCTTGACGAATTTCGGTAACGAATTCCAGCACATCGCAAAAGGGACGGCAATAGCGTTTCTTCATGAGTTCTGTGAAGTGACAGAAATATGCAGTCTTGAAACGACGTCACCGAATGTGAAACTTCCATCTGATGCCTGCGACACAATATACGTAAATCCTAATCTTTCAGAGATTCAACGTCAACAGCTATACGACCTCGTGCGGGAATTTGGCAGCTGTTTCTCCAACAGTTCAAAGGTACGGCGCACGAGCATTACAAAACACAGGATCATAACGGACGAGACAACCAGGCCGGTATGCCGGCACCCGTATCGTGTTTCCCCTAAGGAAAGGGAAGTCATCAAGAAGCAGGTACGAGAAATGCTTGAAGATGATGTTATCCAGCCTTCTAACAGCCCGTGGTCATCTCCCGTGGTGCTTGTCAAGAAGAAGGATAACACGCTACGGTTTTGTGTCGACTACAGGAAACTGAATGCTGTGACTAAACGGGATGTATATCCCCTTCCACGCATCGACGACACGTTAGATCGACTTCGGTGTGCCAAGTTCTTCTCATCACTAGATCTGAAAAGTGGATACTGGCAAATCGAGGTTGATGAACGTGATCGCGAAAAGACTGCTTTTGTTACCCCGGACGGACTTTACGAGTTTAAGGCTCTCCCGTTTGGTCTCTGTTGTGCGCCGGCAACGTTCCAACGCATGATGGACACTGTGCTTTCCGGATTGAAGTGGCAGTGTTGCCTAGTGTACCTAGACGACGTGGTCATCTTCGCGGCTACATTTGAGGAGCACATCAAGCGCCTTCGGTCAGTGTTAGAGGCAATCCGTTCGGCAGATTTGACAATCAAGCCAGAGAAGTGCCGATTAGGTTTCGAAGAGCTTCGTTTTCTTGGGCATGTCGTCAGCGCCCAAGGTGTTCGCCCTGATCCTGATAAGACGACCGCCGTCGCAAGGTTTCCGGTGCCAACAGACAAAAAGTCAGTACGGAGATTTCTAGGTCTATGTGCGTACTATAGACGATTTGTGAGAAATTTTTCAAAGATCGCAGAACCCTTAACGAGACTTACGAAAGAAGATGTGCCTTTCCAGTGGCAAAACGAGCAACAAAGCGCCTTCAACGAATTGAGAAAGAGGTTAGAAAACCCCCCGATTCTTTCTCACTTTGATGAGACAGCCGACACGGAAATACACACAGATGCCAGTCACATCGGCCTTGGATGCGTTCTAATACAGTGGCAGAAAGGTGAAGAAAAAGTGATAGCTTATGCCAGTCGGACTCTAACAAAAGCAGAGACAAACTATTCGGCCACGGAAAAAGAATGCCTTGCCGTCATCTGGGCCATCAGTAAATTTCGGCCGTACCTATATGGTAGACCATTCAAGGCAGTCAGCGATCACCATGCGCTTTGCTGGCTGGCGAACATAAAGGAACCATCCGGACGACTAGCAAGGTGGAGCCTCAGACTGCAAGAATACGATATAACCGTGGTATACCGATCTGGCAAAAAACATACCGATGCCGACTGTTTGTCACGGGCTCCTACAGACACACCACCATCAGAAGAAGACGACTTTCCGTTCGTAGGAATTGTCGAGACCACTCAAATAGCCGAACTCCAACGTACAGACAAAGAATTACTCCCGCTTATCGAACACCTGCAAGGAATTGACGTACAAGTACCCCGTATATTTTCTCGAAGCCTCGCATCGTTCTGCCTCCGAGGAAACGTTCTCTACAAGAGAAACTTCAAGCCCAACCGCGAAAAGTTCCTGCTTGTCGTTCCAGCAACTATGCGACAAGAAATACTTCGAGCGTGTCACGATGAGCCCACATCTGGACATTTGGGTGTGACGCGAACGCTTGCAAGGATCAGTCTCCATTATTATTGGCCCAAGCTACTAGCTTCAGTGCAACACTACGTCAAAACATGCCGCGAGTGCCAAAGACGAAAAACACCAAGTTCTAAACCAGCGGGCCTTCTACAACCTATAGATCCACCGAAAGCGCCTTTCCGCCAAGTTGGAATGGACCTCCTTGGACCCTTCCCGACATCTTTACTCGGCAAGAAATGGATCGTTGTGGCCACTGATTATTTAACTAGATACGCCGAAACAGACTCTTTGGAACGAGGAACGGCAGCAGAAGTGGCCCAATTCTTCGTACACAAAATAGTCCTGCGACATGGCGCTCCAACGGTTGTAATCACCGATCGCGGAACGGCTTTCACGGCGCAACTTTTGAAGTGCCTGCTCAACATGACTCACACTGTTCATAGGAAAACCACTGCATATCATCCTCAATGCAATGGCCTGACCGAACGCCTTAACAGAACTCTAGCGGACATGATATCCATGTATGTGGATGTCGAGCACAAAAAGTGGGACGAAATTTTACCATACGTCACTTTCGCCTACAATACGGCTGTGCAAGAGACCACCAAAATCACCCCATTTGAACTAGTTTACGGTCGTGCTGTTACCACAACACTGGATGCTATGTTACCAATAGACCAAGATGACTACCCCCCCGATCTTGACGACTTTCTACAAAGAGCGGAAGAAGCCCGCCAGTTAGCAAGATACCGAATACGCCACCAACACCGCATCGATGCCGACCGCTACAACCGAGGAAGACTTGACACGCGATATGACGTTGGCGACAAAGTGTGGATATGGACTCCAGTACGACGACGAGGCCTCTCCGAAAAACTCATTTCCCGGTATTTTGGCCCCTACGAGATCGTACAGCGACACAATGACCTCGTCTACGAAGTCAAGCCTGCAGGCCACCTGCATCCGAGGCGACGCAATCCCACGGAGCGTGTACACATTGTACGGATGAAACCGTACTACGACCGATTCCAAACCTAGCCACCCCAATCCCTTGACGTACTGCAACCTCATTTTTACAAACTTGTACACACAAAAAAAAAAAAAAAAAAAAAAAAAGTACTGAACAGCCTCATCGCAAGCATCGGGGCGATGCCGCTTGAGAGGGGGGATAATGCCACGAGGAATTGCTAAGGCGCAGTACAACGCAGACGTTGTTAAAAGAGGAACGCTGACGGCATCGCTACGACTCATGAAGCCCGCCGGAAGGCACGAGCCGGCCCAGCCTGTGCACGAGCTGCTACCGAGCAGCGGCAAAGAAAAGAGGAGAAGAAGAGGACGACGAGCGTTCGCTGCTTTCCCCCAGCTACTGTGTAGTTCTTTTGGCTTTGGGCACAAGTTCGCCCTTATTAAACCTTGTAAATAGGACGTCCCGGTTGTGAGGTTGTTATATCCGTTACAATATATATATACTACGTGAGATCTAACAGAGAATAATTCCGGGGAAAGTTTAGGGGGTGTTATTAGGCCGAATTGTAATGTAAATGTGAAGAAAAAAAAAGTGGGTGAAAAGATAACTTGCCGTGGGCAGGAACCAAACCGGTGACCTTCGAATAACGCATTTGATGATCTACCACTGAGCTACCATGGCGGCTATCCCCCCAGCCACTTTATTGGGCATATATGTGAACTTAAACGTGGGAATGTCAGTCAGCGCCACCAGTAGCCATGGAGGCAAGTGTAGCACACTTTTTATGAGCCTGTTTGGCGTCACGTAGCACGTGAACTTGTTAGAAGCTGGCAGCTGGCCAATAGTCCCTCATATACAATCTAAGGCACCAAGCCTGCCAGTGTGAAACCATTGTTAATGAATAAGGGAAAAAAAAAGTATGCGTATACTTGAGGGCTCGTTTTTGCATGTTTCGACACAATATTAATGAGATCTAACACATAATAATGCCAAGAAAAGTATACAAGAAGTTATTAAATCGAATTTATTGTAAATGTGATGAAATAAAAGGAGTGAAAAGATAACTTGCCATCAGTAGGAACCTAATCTGCAACCTTGGGATAACACGTTCAGTGCTTTATCACTGAGCTACAATTGCGGCTATTCTCCAGCTACTTTATTGGGTATATATATGAACTCAAACGTGGGAATGTCAGTCAGCACCACCAGTAGCCAGTGCAGCGAGTGTGGCACACTCTTTATGAGCCTGTTTTTCGTAGCACGTGAACTTGTTACAAGCTGGCAGCTGACCAATAGTCCCTTGTATACAACCTAAAGGCATGCAAGTCTGTTAGTACGAGAACCTTGTTAATGAATAAGGGAAAGAAGTGTATACTTAAGGGCTCGTTTTTCCATGTTTTGACACAATAATAATGAGATCTAACAGACAATAATGCCAAGGAAAGTATAGGGGAAGTTAGTAGACCGAATTGTAATATAAATGTGAAGAAAGAAAAGTGGGTGAAGAGATAACTTGCCTGGGCAGAAACTTGGGCATTATTGTCTGTGAAATGAACACATGCTCACACTGTGGACAGTGTGAAAATAATTTCATACCGACTAAACCTAAAGTTTTTACTCTTTTTTGTCGCTAGAGCTTGGCTGGAGGCTGCTGTGACTGAACAATGCGATCAGCTGTGTATAGACCCTTTTTGAAAAAGGGCGCCCCTAGCGCCGCGAACGCGAACTACCGCCATTGTGAAGGCGCCGCAGCAGATGACACAGGCTGTATGTCCCGGTGATGCTGACGCGCGTTTTTTACAGCGCACAGAGACACCTCTTGCATTCCTGCAAGACGCAGACCGCATCGCGAGGGCACGCCGATGAGGGTCTCTTGCAAGCCGAGTTCATGCATAGGCAGTCATAACAAGTCAAACTGCTCGTTCAACCCATTGAAGGGTATAAAATATCTCATTGTGCAGCGAAAGCAGCTCAATAAAGCTTGTTGGACAGTACTAGGAGCTTGTTCAAGCTAGAAAGCGGTGCGATTGCAGCGGATGATTCGAAGAACTTGCCGCCAACACAAACATCACAGCACTCACGCGTTTAACGTTTCGCTTTCTATGCCCTCACGATGGTGCTAGCTATTGGCAACTTTCACAGATTGTGGCGATGCCATGGGGCATTCGTTGTAACTGTAGTTTGGGGGATGCCCATGCAGCCGGCCCATGCCATCGTTCAGTCAGCCTTACTTCGGTGGCTCGCTGGCAATTTCTACTACGGTTATTGTGAAGTCAGACAGGTACTGTTAGTCATAGTAGCGACGGTTTATTCTTTATTGTTTGCTTGCTGAGCTAGAAGACTCACGAAATACGTTGGACGCCGCTGTGCAGACGCCGTGCAGACGCCGTGCAGTCAAAGGCGAGGTTTGCACGAGCACGGCCGCTCGGTCTTCCCCAGCCGTGGCACGAGCAGCGTTCACAAAGCTGTACACCGCAGCAAACAGTGTGCCCGGCGTTCGAAACTTATTTTCCTTCAATATACGCCACACACGCGTTTCTCAACACGCAGTGTGGAATATAATACATGCTAGAGTCAATGACCTTCTCAGTGAAGCCTTGACCACACGGTGGCTGCAGCCGAAAATACTACACAGGTCGAAGTGACGGGCGAACCGGTGGCAGCTGTTGGCGCGCCGGCTGCACGATCCCCCAAACGACAGCCATGTTGGGCTTGCAGTAGCGCCCTCTCTAAGCGGTGAAAGTTGCGAATACCACGCTCGTTTGCGAAGTGACACTGACGAAATGCTCACCGTTAGGTGGCGTATTTGTGAAAAGGGTCTATAGGCGAGAGAAATGTCAGGACAAGTGATTATTGTCGCCTACCTACGAGTTCTGAAAAACACGTGAGTAATATAGCTTAACAAGATAATTGAACGGACTTCTCTTCTTTTGATGCTATATGTCTCTGTGCGCTCGCCTATTTAGAGATTCTTCATTTTCTAGACATCAGTTGAGTCGGGAAGTGTTTCCAACTGTGTATTTGGCGAATTCCTTCGTTTAACAGATATATTCTCATGCTTTTTCTGTTTTGTTGTTGCCTAGCAGTATTATTCTTGCCTTGATGTCACAGAAAAGTGTCTCATACGCTTCTGGGCAGGCGCCGATGAATGATGCGTATGCAGCCGCGGGTTTCCTCGGGCTTTCGACATCCACGCGACCCGCACACATGGTGCGCGCCATGCTGGAGTCTCTTGCCTTCCGCACCTATCAGCTGCATGCGCTACTCAAGGGCACCACCGGGTTACCCACCATCGGCACTGTCAGGTACTTACTACGCGCATGTTGGCTGTGCTTATTACAGAACCTGGTTGCCCTACCTTTTCATGGTGGGTCGCCTGGCGTTAGTTGCACCTGGATACGTCACGTTATCTTTCCTATAACACAGAGATGTAGGGCTGGACCTGACGATATGCGTGTCGCATGTCACTCTCCAGTTCCCAGATACAGACCTAAATGGCGTAACCTCCTAGGCCGAGGGTGGAACGGTAGCTGTATAGTGAAAATAAGGATGGGCGGCTCGTGTAAATCAAGCCACTCTTGTAGGAGTGATTCTGGCAGGGGATACAACACATGCCATTTTCTGTATATCCGGCCTTTACTCTTCAAATGATATGATCAAAGACTCTCAAGCAAAATCACAAAATATCACACAAAATCGCAAAGGTAGCACAGAAGATGTGCAGCACCAGTGTTTCTGCAAATGGCACACTGCATGTAACTGGGAAAGTTTTTTCACTTTACGTAGCTAATATTTGGGTAGGATAGGTATAATAAAATAGGCTACAGCCTTCAGGGACAAAAATCAAGCTAATTGTTTGAGCATATGTTGTCAGAAGTGAGTCGTTTCAACAATAAAATAAATACCTTTTACTCTAGTGGTGTCATCTTCAGGGAAACAGATCCAGTAACCTGCTGAAACTTGCAGAAACGGTGAGAGAGAAAGACTTCTCGTTTTCGTTTTTGATGAAATGCAAGTTGTACTTCGCCAAAGAAGATACTCGATAAATCATTCCAGCAATAGAGCGAAAAAGCCACATAGGTTAACTTCGCATATTCAAAAAATGTCTATGATCTAGTTTCTCTGCCAGTAACATGCGGAGCTGGCAAAAAAGTCGTCAACAAAAATGTGTTTAGTCTGTTTCCTCACTAAACCGCTTTATAATACAGACACTGCATTTGCTATGCATTGACTGTAGAATTGTAGATCGCCGTAAGAATGTAAAAAAAACCGATATGAGGCAATATTGTAACAAGGTGCGCAGTAGTAGCAATGGCCTTCAATGTACTTTGTCTTACTGCATGTAGTGGCAGCACTCCTGCAGATAGCTACTAAAGTACACATTGACAGATCCATAGTTTATAAGCAATAAAAGTACTAGCATTAGCAGTACTAATTGACAAAACTCGGCAGCAAACTCCGTGGATTCCCAGACTTCAAGAAAAGGACAAACGGTGCAAAACCAAGACAGGGACGGAGGATGCTTGCTGTCTATTCTCTGTGTTTTTCATGACCTTTAGAATATCAACTGGCCCAAATAAGCGCTGTAGACCAGACAGACGTGCCGTCCAAGGAACCGATAAAGCCGGTTAAGCATGAGGCGATTTGAAAGCAGCTAGCCTCACTCGCTTACACTGACAAACACTGTCGTGAATTTGACTTAGTCCGGCATATTAATGAAGCTCTCGAAGGAACTCAGCAGAAAGCGGCGCAGACAAGGAGAGGCGACGCACACATGATGTTGACTAACAGAGCTTCATTCACAGGACTGGAAGGAAAGGCTGCGTATGTAGGGCACCGCAGCCAGGCGAACATTGAACATTACACACTCATCTCAAGTCAACCTTGTACACAGTAGAAGTAACACAGCATGCAGTAGTGCGTCGTTCAGAGCCAGTTAAACACGTGCTGTTCAACCACACGAAAGCACTATCAAACTTTGAGGTGAAGTGTGCCCGATGCTTTTGATTGTCAACTGGGAATTGTGCTTAAACGGCATCTCATTTTGTTGAAAGAAGGATACACAAACTCAGTGAGGGAAGCCTAAGCACTAATCTAAAGCATTTATATTTTATTGGCATAGATTCTGCTGGAATTTTTGTCGCCACTTGCGGAGATCTCGTGGCAATGCCCGACTTTCTGCCCAGGTTCACCGGTGGTGTGACGCGCAACACATTCCTTATGCAGCTGTTGGCTGACCTGCTGCAGGAACCCATCATCTGCTCTTCACAGCACGACAGCAGTTCTCTTGGTGCTGCTTACCTTGCTGGGCTCGCTGTCGGTGAGTCCATGCAAGAAAAAACATTGCTTTATCATAATTAGATTGAGAACCATATATCATGTTCTATCGGGCTTTAGTACTGCCGTCAGGCGAATGCAAGAGCTTGAAGGGATACTGAGAAGAAAGTTTTCACTTATCGTCTTCCTGCTTAAAATGAGAGACCAAGCTTCTGAGAGTGCAGTAAACATACTGGTAAGCGTGAGTGCACCCAAAAAAATAATTACAGCATCTTTTGAAAAGGTGGTGTCGGTTCCTATTGTACCTTGATATCATATGAATGGATGGATGAATGAATATGGCTGTACCCTTTGGATCGGGCGGTGACTAGAGCCACCAAGCCGTAACACTTAATGAACCAGAAACTCGATTTATATTTTTTTCCTTTAAATAGGATGGTTGAGGATTCGTACTTTGCAGTGAAGGGTTTAATTTTCACTTGTGCCTTGACTTTAGCCACCATTCAGATAACCTCCTTCTAGTTAATTCTAACCGCTTAAAGTCTATTTTGCACTCCCTGTCCCTAAACCCCAGTGCTTTGAAAAACTCTGCACCATCATCCTGAACTATAGGGTGAAGCCCTTTACAAAATAAAGTGTTCAGCAGTTTCTTCTTCCTCTCCACACGCACTGCATACCCTGTCTACCCTTTGTATTTGGCCCAATATGTCTTGGTTCGCAATACTCCCGTCCTGGCCTCAAACAGTAGAGAACTACCCCGAGTATTATCATAGATCCTTTCTTTGGCAATTTCTTGCTTAAAAGTTTGATAGATTTCTAGTGCGGACTTCTTAATCATGCCAATTCTCGACATATCGGTCTCGGCTTCCTGCATCTTCTTCTTAGCCAATAATTCTTTTTGGTTCGGCCCCCTGCTGTTTTCTAAGTATTTACCAGTCAATTTTCTGGTTCGCTTTCTCCATTTTGTATCGACATTCTTCATGTACAAGTAGCTGAATACCTTCCTAGCCCAACGCTCCTCCCCCATTTCTCTCAATCGCTTTTCAAATTTTATCTTGCTGCTGCTTTCCTGCCTTCAAATGATGTCCATCCCATATCACCTTGTACTCCCTGATTTGGTGTATTCCCGTGACCTCCTAAGGCAAGCCTAGCTATTCCACGTTGCTTAATTTCTAATCTTGGTATAAGGAGCGCGACCAGGTGGTAGTATGTGTGCACGCTAGTTCTCGTTCCGTATCCTCGTCCGCGTGTCTATTCTTCGATCATCTGTTGTGCGCCGCACTTGTGACTGCTGCCGCGGCAAGGGGGCACATTGTTGGATTGCCCTTAAGTTTAGGGCATAGGTTCTTCGTCGACAATCCGAAGTCGGTCAGCAACTGGATTCTGCGTGTGTACGCGCCCGGAGTTAAGTGAAGCAAGCAGAGCGAACTCCGCTTGGTTGGCGTCCAGTTCCTGCCTCGGCCTCCACTTGTCTGGATGGGACTGGAATCAGTGGAACATCCACTTATGGTTCTTCGTTTCACTTGTGCAAGATAATTCATAGGGCAAAATATAGGTGCCATGATGCGCAAAATCGATAGATCCCACGCACAGCGAAAGTCGATGACATACGGAGCACTAATAAGGAAGGTTGATACGTCACTTTGAAATCAGCACAAAGTTACGAGGCAGACGTAAATTATGCCGTACATGACTTTCACGTCATGATTATCATGTTTGGGCGTGTCATTTACCTTCGTATATTCACGTCACGTGATATCAAATTTCGGATACGATGAGCTAGCGAAAGGGCTGCGAGCGTGCTGTGAGCTTAGCACGTAGTCATGATTTGTATGATACACATATCATGATTATCATGTTTACATGTATCATTTACCTTTGTCGTCCATTCGGGTCATGTATTACGAAATTTTGTATATGTGGAACTCTCGAAAGGGCATGAGCACTCTATGACCGTCGCATGTAGTCATATTTTACACCTCGCGCATATCATGATTATCATGTTTAAACGTCTCGATTACCTTCGTCGTCTATTCACGTCCCGTGATACCGAATTTGGTATATGTGGAGTTAGCAAAACGGCCGCGAGCATGCTATGAGTGCAGCCATGTTTTGCATGACACGCATGGTTATCATGTTTGAACGTGTCATTTACTTTCATCGTCCGTTCGCGTCACGTAATACCAAATTTGGTATATATGAAGCTAGCGAAACTGTTGCGAGGGCATTATAAGCGTGACATGTAGTCACGCTGTTAAATGACATGCATCTCATGATTATCATGTTCGCACCAGTCACATACCTTCGTCATTCATACACGTCACGTAATACAAACTTTGGTATCTTTTGATCTTACAATACTGCAGGCCCTTCTTGGGCCTATGCAGGAGTGGGTTGAAAAACCATCTGTACAGAGAAATACCATCTATGCAGAGTAGTATGAGCACTTACAATTGACAAGTAATCTGAACATTATGCAATGAACAAGGCGTACATATGATATAAACGGCAAACAGTATTATAATAACTGTGCTGGTAGAAGGGGTAGCATGTGAAATACTAATAACACCAATTATATTACTATTTGAATGTGAATTCTGAATGCTGGTAATGCATTCCTCGACAGATGGGCAGTTTACAAATATCAGCCGGCAGTGCATTACACTGGGAAATGGTGTGGTGAAATACAAAATACATCTGAAAATTTTTATGTTAGGACTAGTCATTTATGATTGTCCTACAGTCATGTTATGCCGTACCAATCGTGGTATTGATACCAATATCGAAACGACCAGGAGAGATGAAAGTCGCAGGCGGCTAGATAGATAGGTAGATAGATAGATAGATAGATAGATAGATAGATAGATAGATAGATAGATAGATAGATAGATAGATAGATAGATAGATAGACAGACAGACAGACAGACGGACGGACGGACGGACGGACGGACAGACAGATACGCTCCAAGTCACCGAAGTTCACTAGGAAATGCTTCGCAATTCAAATTCGAAAGCAACCGATTCATTCGCTCTCTGATGAGCGTTTGTCTTGTATTCGCGTGCACGTACACTATTCCGAACTCCGCTAGCTCGCTTCGTAGGTACGCTCGATGTTCTTAGGGCTTTTAGCTTGTACGTATACTTATTAATGTTAACGTGTTACCGGATACTGGTTTGCGTTTACCGTGTTAAGTTTTACCGCCTTACGTTTCCGTCTCACGTTTGAGCTCTCCATAGGTAAACTGTTATTTACGTACGGAAACGTATGCCTTCACGTTTTCATGCACAATAAATGGCGATGCTACTGCATTTAAACTATACCCTTAACTCAGATAGTATTGAATCACTGATCCAGGAAATCACAAGATGTTTAGTTATCATGTACAATATTCTCGTATGCACAAAACAGAAAAAATACAAGGTTACTGCCACGATGGTCTCGACATCTCGTGACTCTTCGTTCAACCACAGTCATGAAACGTTGGCTTACGCGTAATGTTTTTCAGCTGAAAAAAATAAAATGGTAACTGATTTCTAATAATGCCACTTCGCGTTTTTGAATGCCAGACGTGCAATGCACAATGTTTCTGCAATAAAATATTTGTGATTTCATGGTTTATTTTAGCCCCAATAGATAGTGCCAAATATCCAGCCGTCAGGGGCTCACACATTCATGATTTCATGTTCTATGCCATTCTAGCTTCAGTATATTCTGGCTGAAACAATTTGATCTGTATTGACGCTCGCAATTTAGCTTATTTTGACTTGATGGCTGGAGTATCTGCAATGTGGATATAGCGAGTTCCTACGAACGAAAGTGGCTTTGCAAGATAGGGCCGCAAACCTAAAGCCTACCCGGCGTGTAGCTTACGTTATCTAAAAGTAACGTAAGCTACACGTATGTGCAGATTGGAATCGGTATCCGGTAACACCGGAACGTAAAGTATCTATACAAGTTCAAAGCCCATAGTGACCGTAGCCCATAGTGAACAAGACGGTGACTTGCAAGCCGCAATTTCTTGTGTTTGGTGCTTGACATTATCACAACTTGTATGTCGGTAGGTACGCCACGAGAAATGTGACTTTATTATCAAGATGATTATCTGATCAGCATTTCCTAAGTGTCACACTTACTGAGAGCCCTCTCTCTGCACAGGAGATGTGTATGACAGAGTAAACTTGCCTCCGAAAAAAGGTGTCAGTACCCCTTTAAGGTACTATATAGGAAGCTTTGCAGAGGAACGTGTGCTTTTCGTGCTTTTCAATATACTCAACACATCAGTGTTGAACAACTGTATTTGTCAGCTTGCTACTGCACTTTCTCATAGTTCTCACTCTTTCCCGAAACTGTCTAATGGCTATTCTCGATTGCCATTTACAACTGTGCTGGATGGAGCATCGATGTAAATTTGTATTTTAATCCAGCAGTAAAGTGCACATTCATTTTCTGTTCATCAAGCTCTCATAAGGGGAAAGCTTCATGTGTCTTACGCGAAGGTGGCCTTCAGCACAAAGCAAGCTTTGAGTGAATATCTTAGAAAAACCTTAAGGCATGTGTAGTCTTTGTGATTGCACCAGTCTTAAGTAGTAAATAGGAAAAGAAAGATCTGCTGGCAAAGAAGCCGTTTTGAAAAACTTTCGTGGAAGGACACCCACTACTTGGAGAACATATGATCGTGAAAACGCTTCTCTGGAAAGGGAAAAGGTAGTCCTTATCCGGTGATTTTAATGGCGAAGGCCGCCGTTCTGTATTTTTACACGAGGTCTTTGCTCTTCTTCGAAGATTGAACTCGATAGGGCTGCCTCACATATTTCCCATGTTAACGGCTATGTAGTTTCTAAAGCACCATTAGCCTTACAGGTCCTTACTATGCGATAATAAAATGCTTTTTGCTAGTTACATTCAGCTGGAAAGAATGGTGGCTCAATAGCATGTCGCATTTCTAAATCATTAAATAAAAAGGTAGTGTACACAGGCACTGGCTTACTGCGGTAGCTGCGCAGCAACGCAGAAAGGGCGCGCTCTAAATGACGCGGTGGGCC